GTCCATTAGTCCTTTGGACTAAACTTTTCCTTGTATCCTGTTCTCTTCATTCTCCCTTGCTCCCGAAGGGGTGAGACCAGTCGAGTATCTTAGATGGCTGCTCACAGGCTTTTAAGACCCTAGACGCTACTCACCAAGGTAGAATGTAGAACACTGTCTTTATAAACTGTGTTACGCCAAATGAGCTAGATGTTCCCTGAGACCATGGTCCCCACAGCCCTTCACCCAGCAATTCAGTCCCTCAGGGACTTTGTATGTGTCTATGGAGCTTCCATGACCTTTCCTTGTACAGGTTGTGCTGGCTTCCCCAGTATTGTCAATCTCATGCTTTTGGTAGAAGTTTACATTCTTATAAGCAGTATGGCTCTACGAGTCAACATTTTAAATGTGCCTAACCTATTAACTCAGCCATTCCATTTCTTGAAATGTATCCTAAGTAGAGAAGTAGACAAGTATGCAAAGACATATATACCATGGTGTTCATAGTAGCAAAAATACTGCAAATAAAAAATCCAACAGTTATCTCCAAAGTCCAACAAATTCATTCATAAGCACAAGTACAGACAGCAGTGGATAAAAAAGGGAAAAAAAATCCCTTCTTCATGGAGCTTACATTCTAATGGAGGGAGCGAGACAATAAACAAGATTTTAAAAGTCTGTTGTGTATCAGGGGATGATAAATGCTATAGAGAAAAATAAAGAAGAGAAGGGAGACAGAAAAGAAAGGAGGACTGTTGTAATTTTAAGCAAAGGGGTCAGGATTGATAACAGATGAGATAAATGGGTTAATCAGAGAAAAAAATGCATTATGGTACACCCACACACTGAAATATAATTCAGCCATGTGTCCTGTATTTATTAACATGAAAAGGTATCTACACGACACAATCAAGAGAAAAAAGCCTATAAAACAGCATTAAGGAGGACAAACTTATTAAGGTATACTTACTTACATGTGTGCATGCTTATAGTCTAACTGTGAGAGAGGAACAACACACAAAGAGACAGGTAATACTAAGCGAGGGTCCAGGGTGAGTGCCAGACAAGTGGTACACGCGGCATCTGTTTGTTCTCCCACCCACTCATCCTCCTCCCCACACCTACACTTTGTTCCAGAAAGGATTTAAGGACAGCAAATACACACACTCCCACAAGTTCTTTAACTCTCCCTGTCCTCCTTCACCCTTTTCCCTCCTGTTCCCAGAAGCCAAGTGTTATGGATTGAACTGTGTCCCCCAGAAATGTGTATCAATTTGACTAGGCCATGATTCCCAGTATTGTATGGTTGTCCTCCATTTAGTGATCTGATGTGATTATCCTATGTGTTATAAATCCTAACCTCTATGATGTTAATGAGGCAGTTATGTTAATGAGGCAGGAAGCAATCTACAGGATTACGTTGTATCTTGAGTCAATCTCTTTTGAGATATACAAGGGAGAATCAAGCAGAGAGGAAAGGGACCTCATACTGCCAAGAAGAAGCACTGGGAGCGGAGTGTGTCCTTTGGACCTTGGATTCCTGTGATGAGAAGCTCTAGACCAGGGGAAGACTGATCACAAGCACGCCTACCCCTAGAGCTGACAGACAGAGAAAGCTTTCCCCTGGAGCTGGTGCCCTGAATTTGGACTTCTTGCCTCCAAGACTGTGACAGAATAAATTTCTGTTTGTTAAAGCCATCTACTTGTGGTATTTCTGTCATAGCATCACTAGATAACTAAGAACACCAGGCCAGTGATAGGGTGAAAGGGACAAAGGCTTAAGATTGGGGTAAACTGATGGGGCACCAAAAAGGATGGAAGGAAACCCCTAGGGGATCTGGAAGGGATTCCTCTCACTTTAGCACACTGGAAACAGGTTCTGGAAGGCACACCTCCACCTGCAGATCTGTACACTTTGAAGCAAGGCTACTTGACTCAAATTTCCTATTTCATCCCCTACTAACCCCAAAACACCCTGCAGGGGCAGTCAGGAGCAAGGCTAACTCACAGGGAACCACAGGCCAGAGCTTTGCTCCTGCACAAGTGTGCCTGCGTCTTCCTATGACCAGAAAAGGACACCGCACGGAGCCCTTTCTGCCTCCTACCTTGTCCCCTTCTCCATATATGTGACCCACGAACTATCCTGGCTAAATTAAGAATTCATGCCCAGCCCCCACACATACCTCCCCTTTGCCTCAGCTACCCTACAGATTTAGATTCACAGGTTTCCCCATTAAGATTCTCAGGACTAGGTCCCTACAAGAAAGCTGTCCGGGGTGACCAAACAGGCTAGTTTGATTGGAACACTTACAGCTTGGGGTAAGGTTTTGAGTAAACTGGTGGACAGGGCTCAGATATATCTGCTCTCAGATATGTGGAAGCAGATTACATTTCTTGCCTGAACACAGAGCCACAAATGAGGAATCAGCAACCTCCCAAAGGTGGATTCCAAGTTGCTGTCCCCTATCTCTTTAGCCTGAGAGTGGGAGGAGAGGCACATGAATGGAGGTAGGGGGCCTAGGGAAAGATTCAACTGTTTCAAAATATTTCTCACATATTCTCTGTCACCTCTTGGATACCTAATACACGTCAGACCCTGTTTTAGGTGCTTTCATATACTAGCAACAAAAACAGCAAAATCACTTCTATCAAATAATCCTACTATGTGCTATTGAATTTAAGAAGCCTAGGGCACATTGGGGGCACAGTTATGGATATTTCCTAGACATAACCAAATACCTCACAGAATCGGGTTACTAGGTTTGAAGGATTAGGACCATAGTCTCAGGGGGACAACTCGGTCAACTGACATAACACAGCTCATAAACATAATGTTCTACATCCTAGTTTGCTGAGTATCGTCTGGGGTCTTAAAAGTTTCCAAGCAGCCATCTAAGATACGACTATTGGTCTCTATGCTTCTGGAACAAAAGAGAAAGAAGGAAAGCAAAGACTTAAAGAAGAAACTAGTCTACGGGACAAACAGTCTACAGGAACCATGGCCTCACCTACCTTGAGACCAAAAGAACTAGATGGTGTCTGGCTACTGCTACCAACTGTTCTGATCAGGAACACAACAGAAGGTCCCAGATAGAATGGTGAAAAAATGTAGGCCAAAACTTAAATTCCTAAAAAAGGCCAGACTTACTGAACCGGGAGAGACTAGAGGAACCCCAGAGATAACTGCCCTTTAAACTTGGAACTCAAACCACTCCCAGAGCCAAAAGACAGAGTGGCTCATAAAATAAATAATATCACCTGTGAGTACTGTGCTCCTCTAAACAATGATCTAAATGAGACCTAGCAGTCAACATTTAGCCTAGACCAAAGATGAGAAGGTAAGGTGGCACAAGGAAGCTAGATTAATGGAAACAGAATAACCAGAATGGAAATAATGAGAATGATAACACATTGTGAGAAGTGTAACCAATGTCACTGAATAATATGTATAGAAATTGTTAAATGAGAACCTAATTTGCTATATAAAATTTCTCCAAAACCATAATAAAATATTTTTTAAAAAAAAGCCTAGGATACATACAGATACAGCTGCCCTGCTGATGGTTTAATACCCAGGCTTGGTATTAGGAAAAGAAAAGAAATCTGAAGATTCTTCTTAGGGTTATGACACAGAAGTCTCTCTACACACTATCAGGCCAGAGCCTTCAGCCACCTTAGTTCTTAAAACTCAACCCAAATTCCCAGGGAAGTCACTCCAGAGGGGGACGCACCTGCAGAGTGGCTCCACTCCGGCTTCTGCTCTCTTTCCTGGGCTTTCAGCAGAGAACATCCCTCCCTCCCCACTCCCATCCCACCTCGCCACACACACACTTAACCTGTAAGTGAAAGAAATTCCCTGCAGGTAAAGGGTACAAGATGAGTCAGAGAAAAACAAAAAGCAATTACCTCTTCAGCAGAGCCACCTCTGTCTCTCTTTCCCTCTCTCCGTCTATCTTTATCTCTACTTCTTGTCTTTACTGGACATGTATTTACTGAGCAACTCTATTATGCTCATCACTACAGAATATTATCATAAAGCATGTCTCCTGTCTTCAAGAAATTTACTCCATTTGGGAAAACAAAATGAACACACAAGACGCATGTTATAAAAAGGGGGCTCCAAGAATTCAAATGGAGAGGCATCGTGACATACATAGGGATCTCCAATTTCAAACACTGACCAAATCTCCCCTTTTTTTGTTTCATTCTTAGGAGAGCTGTGTTTCACTTCAAGAAAATCCAAAATACAAAAATCCAAGACATAAACTTGGGGGATTATTCACTAGACAAAAAGAATTTTTCTCTTTGCTGTAAAGTTTAGGGAGATCAAATTTAACTAGTCCCCAACCCCTGTCCTTGCATGCACGCACATGCACACACACACACAGATACATTTACATCCAG